AAACGCACTTTTGCCAGGTTTTGGTCAGGGTAGCGTCTTAAGTGTAAGATTGAACGAAGCGAGACTGGGATTTATCACATCCCGACTCGGGTCTATTCGCTCGCTTCGCTCGCTCACTCGACCCTGCCATCTCCTTCTAACCTAACCTGTCCGAGTTGGGATGCCCTAAGTCCCGAGCTCGCATCGCTTGATATTACACTTAATAAAAACCAAAATAAAAAATTAATAAATAAACATTTTTTATTTTTTTCCGAGTCGGGATGCACTAAGTCCCGAGCTCGCATCGCTCAATCTTACACTCAATAAAAACCAAAATAAAAAATTAATAAACAAACATTTTTTAATTTTTTTCCGAGTCGGGATACCCTAAGTCCCGGGCTCGCATCGCTCGATCTTACACTCAATAAAAACCAAAATAAAAATTAATAAACAAACAATTTTTATTGTTTTAAATGTTGTTTTTTGTGTAGATTATGAAAAAAAATAACAACTTCATTTGATTATTTTTATGCATTGAGTTATAATGTACTACGTACTAGAGAAGCTATTCCAAACAAAAATTGTGCGCTACTTCTATGTCTTCGCGCATGCGCGGTAATAGTAGAGTCGCGCATGCGCAGTTGGTATAAACGCACTTTGCGCTTGCGCGGTAAGTTTTTGTTATTATAGATTATACGTAAGTAGAATGGTCAGTATGTAATAATTGTTTATTTATATTACATTGTTAATTATATCGAGTACTTACAATTTTTTAAATTGTTTTTTATTTTGTATATGTGCTAATTTAATATAATATTACATAATATTATGTCAGAATTACATTTTGATGATATTGTTATCTGAATATTTTAAAAGGTATCTATGTCAAATATAAAAAAACGTACTAAATGTATGTTTAACAAAACTTATTAACATAAAATTTAAATTACAAATATATTTATTTAAATTAGAATCATAAATGTTGTAAATAATCGTTCATAAATGCTGGGCACGCGAGAGTTAAAAATGGACGAATTTATTCCACTTTGACTTTGAAGTGGAAACCTAAAAATAATATGAAAAATTTAGCTTAATTATAATAACTTATATGTTTCTACAAAAAAAATGTGTAGTATAATAATATATTCGTCCTAAACTTAAGTACCCACAGAAATGTCGCATCTGAACATATTAATTTCATAATCTATATTCAATGATACGAGATGGTGTCTTAGGAATAATTTGCTTTATTATTAATTTATAATACTTTTTTATTGAATAAGTATCTTATTAACCGATGAAAAGTAATTCCTTGGTTTTTACTGACATTTCTTGAATTATTTGTGCAATATCTAAGTACACAAGACGGCATATTTTTATCAAGAGATTTTTTTTAAATCAACACAACACGTGACAACTCTACAAGCGCCTAGCGAGTGACTGATTAAAGTGCAGTGCATGCACCGCAGTTGAGTGGAACAGAGTAGCTGAATGCAGTGTCTCCTCTAGTACGTAGTACATAATAGCTCAATGTTTTTATGGGTGCATTTTCATGAAGATTTAGCTCTGAAACCGTAGACAGAGTTCTCTGTCTACGTTTGAAACCAAAGTTTTAATTTTTTTATCTTGTATTTTTTTTCCGTAAATTCGCGGTAATAATGAAGATTTAAAAAAAAAACATCGAAATCGGATAATTTTTCGATTTTCTAGAGCCGAAAAACGAGGTGACCGCGATAGTATAAAATTACCTAAATTTTAATCGACAGCTGATTGATTAAAAACGCTTAATCAAAATAAACAAACGTCAATTTCAATAAATGTCGTGCCTAAATTGCATTAATTACCTTTAGATGTTTATGACAAAGTCATACAAAATCCATACCGTATTATATTTTAATATTTGTTACTGTGTTCTTTATAAAATCTGTTTCACACTGGTCGGGATAAGCGCATTTTGGCTATAGATTTATACATTACATACTTACTTATTTTTATAAATCCTGTCAATTCGTAATGAATTTTTATAGTGTAATATTAATTTGATTGAACTCTTACCTTATCGAAAACGGATTACCATTTCAAATGATGGTCAGTAGCTTCTTGTTAATTATTAAATCTGAAAATTTTCCAAGTGAAGGTTCCCAACTCCGAAGAGAAAAATATTCAGTACCTAACAAATATATTCTATGTCTAAATACTGTCTACTATTACTACTTCTACTACTATAGCCAATTACAACTACTATGTAATGATATTAGGTATATTGATAAGTTATATTTTCGTAAACAACTAATGTTGCTTATATTTTCAGACAGAATCACATCAATGTTTTGGCGTTGATACGTTATACTCGTACTTACAGTCATCAACTGTGGCAAATAAACAAATAAATCAGGGTAAGCATGTAACTGCAAAATATTTTTATGCAGATCGAACCTCCGTATATATATATATATATATATATATATATATATATATATATATATATATAACATCGGACCAATAAAAAAGAAAGACCACGAAAACTTTTATACAATCATAATCATAATTATACATGAATCTGCGGTGGTTGATTCACTTCGTTACTGCGTACTGCGTCATTCTTATTTGAAATCGTATCCTTACCCTGCAGAGATAGTGTAAGAGAATCACTAATAACGCATAAAATTATAACTTGGCCAATACCCCCCTATATATGGGAGAGGTCTACGTTCAGCGATACTTTAGAAAGGCTTTGATGAATGGATTCACTTTCTAATTTAAAGTAAATCCTTTAGTTAAATGGCTTTTCAACGTATACTCATATATTTATAAGCTATTATATCATATCAAAACCAAACCTTCTACCAAATTTCGGCGGCCTTTTTATATGCGAAATGCTTACGCATACCAGGCTCGCGGGGTCAATGATGAGTTACGTCGGAGTTGCACCGACTAAAATCCATGGTGTTCTACCTTCACCGTACATTGATAGGACCATGGGAACGCTTTCGCGCACATCCGCGGCTCCATCAGTTCCAGCCACCCCATGGCAGAACCTTATCGGGGGGAGACGGGTGAGGGGACTTTTCCTCTTGTTTTTCCTTTTCAGGTAAAGCGCTCCAGGAACACAAGGCGTGCTTTCCTCCACAGCTTCGAGCTCCATCTGCGCATTGCTAATCGTGTAGTCTCGGGGTCGGCCAGAAATGAGATTTTTCTGTTAAGAAATATTTATTACAGACCGAAGTGAAAAGTTAGCGGTTTTTTACCCCCGTACATCGGAAAACATGTAAAGCCGTTAGTCCTGCGCCTGATCCCTCTCCAATTCTGTCGGGATTTGTGCCATCGGACTATAAAAGTGAAGAAATATAGAGTACACCTTTGCTTGCACAAACCAGGAGCACTATAACCTTGTCATACGCCCCACGCAGATGGCTAGTCTCCGTTGAGACTGGAGGCCGTGATCGAAATTCGGTTTTCGGATCAGACATTATTATTATTATATCTACTACCCAAGGATGCAATACACGGGACCCGGAAATACCGTCCGATCATATGCCTCAATACTTTTTGACATCTTGCCTCTCTAACAAGATCTACCAACATCTAGGCCATCACTCTCTTCTTTATTATTATTTATCATCATCATCACGCAGCCCTTTGCGTTGCCATTTTGTGGACATATTTTGCGTAACGTCGGCACAACACGATTGCAAATTTAGTGTCGTTCACTTCACATGAGCACTTGATTACAGTTGTATTGGCAAATCGCTGCAGACGATCTTATATATCTGAACAAGAATAATCAAATAATAGACCGTAACTTAGACTTGTGCTTGACACGTGGTTCACCCTCGTTTGTGCTTACCACATCTACGATGATGTAACCTTGGTGGGAATGAGAAAAAAACAATGTAATTGAGGAATGATTCCCATCGTCAAATTGTTTGACGATGGAAATAATTCCTCAATTACTTGTTTTTTTAATTACATTAATATTTGATACATGTAACGGAAACAATATTTATATAAAATAAAATCGCTTATAATTAATACTTATGCATTTAAATTGTGTACTACGAAACTAAACGTCTGAAAAAAAAATCGTAAAACGCGAAGGACATTTCCCAACTGTTACACAATTATACTATTAGTTCGCCATATAAGTATGTTTAAAGCTCGTTGGTCTAGTGGTTGTAGTAGTGCCACTGCCGATCATGAGGTCCTGGGTTCGAATCCCGGGTCGGGCCAAAAAATTAATAATTGAGTTTTTCTGTCAAGAAATTCTCAGTAGTTGCCCGGAGTCAGGAAGTTGGCGGTGTCTCACCCCCGTGCCTCAGAAAGCAAGTCAAGTCAAGCAAGTAGGTCCTGCGCCTGATCTCTCTCCGGTTGTGTCGGTTTACCGTCCCATCGGACTATGAGAGTGAGGGAATAGAGAGTGCACCTGTGCTTGCGCATACACTTGGGCAATATAATCCTGTCCTGCGCCGTTGGCTAGCCTCCGTTGAGGCAGGCCGCCGTGGCCGAAATTCGGTCTGGAGGATTAAGTATGATTGAAGCTTGATCAAAATCGAGTGCTGAATTTTCAAAAATGATCACAGATTTTAATACCACAGAGAGGTTGACATGTATTTTGAAAAAAATATTAAATGTAATTAAACTTATTTCTTTACACAAAAGGGAACTCATCGGAACAGCATATTAAAGAAGACATGAATAAAATGTCTATGTTAATGCAAAGTTATGATAGCAAATTGTATGGCGAAGATGATACGTCCCAGCCCACTTCCCGCACGGCGCCAATTATACCATTAGAAACGACAAAAAAGAAAAAGAAAAGAAAAAGGTTACATTAATTTAATAAAGTATTAGTAAAGTAAAATTCAGTAAATTTTTAGACAAATTTAGTACAGTATAAAATATTATCGTGAATAAACAAGGGATGTTGAAATATTTTTTTCTCCTTTAATAGATCTCAAATAACAATTTGCCTTACAAACTGTCGTTACGAGTCAATCCGTAAAGTAGCCAGTGCGTTTGGCATGCGAGAAGTGTCAGAAGAAGAGGCATGGAACTTCTATTGGACAGACATGAGCGTCTCTGTCGACAGAGCGAAGGAGATGAAGAGATTTCAGCGCATAAACCATTTTCCGGGAATGCTAGAGATTTGCAGGTATCATGGCGCACTTCAGACTGATTTCTACCATACTATTCTTTCCAAGTATACTATAGCCATCTACGTACAATGTTTTATTGTTGGCAGTATATTGATGGTTAAAGAAAATCATCACCTCATGTCATTCGTATTTGAGCAACAAGTGGTTAATGAAATCGGTGATGGTTATTAACATACATTTACTTTCACCATTTTCTACAGGTTACTTTCATATATCGACTGCTTACCCATCCATCAAGCGTGTTACTTAGAAGTTAGGAGCATATATTCGTGCTTAAAAGAAATCTATACGACAATAGATATAATAAACATTAAATTAATTTTCAATCCATCGCCATATCCAATCATATTCGTCAATCATGTTTTAGGAAAGATTTACTAGCGAGAAACTTGAACAGAATGCAAAAAATATATCCAAAGGAATATAATTTCTTTCCGAAGACGTGGTGCCTGCCTGCAGAGTGAGTCTAACAACTGCAAACTATTTATTGTATAGGGTTTAGCAAGATTCATTTTAATAATTTCATTATTTTAGTTTTGGTGAAGCTTTGAACTATAGCAAAACTCACAAAAACAAGACGTTTATAATAAAACCGGAGTGTGGAAGTCAGGGTCGCGGTATTTATTTGACAAAATCACTCAAAGAAGTTAAACCTACTGATAAACTGATTTGTCAGGTATTTATATTTAGTTTTATTAGAATCTTCTTCTTTAACTGATTTAATAATTTCACCGATGATTGTCTCAATGTCAAGGTTGTGAGGTACCTACAAGATAACGTAAACACTAAAATTAGTTGTACATCCTTAGAGCTGATTTCGGAAATTGTAGGATATTGTGTAATCCGCAAACCAATTTAGTAGCCTAAAAGAGGAAATAACTTCTCTTATTGTGAATACTACTGGTCACAATGATTTAATCATAAACAATAATTAAAATGGCAACTCAAAATTTTGCAAAATCGGTAAATACTTACATTTTTTACAAACCTGAACTGAACTTACAGTCTACCTGAAGGTACGTGATTACCGCAATACATAGACACCTGCAGCCAACTTCAACAAAGTTATCCTTAGCACACAAAGGTAATTTAGGTATATCCTGTAACAGCTCCGAGAATCCGTTATGACGTAGCTGATTCTCCAGAAAAAAAGGAATATGAGGAGATTTCTAGACGCAATATAACAGTCCTTATTAATACCCATGTATTTGCACCTAATATAATTCTTTATATTAGGCTTAAAAACAAGGGATTGAAAATAAGAAAAGAGGATACTTTGTAAATTATGAAATAGGGTTGTCAATAGATTGAAGGAAATGAAACTAAAGCGTAGAAAAGTCTTTGGGAGCTCAATAATCAGATGTAGGTATTATTTATACGAGAGAGATGATATAAAACGCGTAAAAAGGGTGAGAGGAACGTTTATTTTGTTGGATAAGAATCTGGCATAAATAAGTTTCTACATGATAACAAAGGGGGCTCCAAGCATTCTACATGGAGCGTGCTTATTAGGGATAGGTAACTTCGTAGCACCAGTAATTATGCGTAAGAACTTCGATTGAATTCTATCCAATTTGGTAAGAGCGATATTTATTAGAAGGTTCAAGTTGCTCCGAGCAATTACATTATATCATTTTTCTGTGTGAATGAATAGGAAAACTAACTAGCAAAACGAAGCATTCCACCTTAGTACTCAGGGGTGACAACGCATTTACCACAGCATCCACTTACCATCAGGTGAACTGTGTACTCGTTTGTCGCTCTTATTCTATAAAAATATGAAGAAGAAGGTTGAAAACCAATCCCTGTGTCAGTCCTCTCCAGACGAGGTGGAAAGGAAGTAGAGAGTCAATAAGACGGACAGAAATTGAGTGTGGTTTAAAGAGATTAGGTATAATATATAATGTAAGCTAATCTCATTGGGACGAACAAATTGACCATTCTCTGCGTAAGTAGGTATAGGAAGCGGGACATTATCATAAGCGGAAGAATTATCTAGGAAGACCCCTTTAATAATAGTTCTCATTATGATTTCTTATATTTACGCGAACACGGAATTAAACGGAATTAAAATCAAGTAAATTAAACGCGATAAAATCCATAAAAGTAGTTTAATTCAATACTTTCATTGTTCGAGAACGCAAGGCATATCTCTGAAGTTAGGATGCTCAAAATATCCAACGTGTCCAAACCACATTTGAACTCAAATTGTTTTTTTTTTGAGTATATCTTTATTTTACAAGATGGAATCTCAATAACCAATTTACCTATTACGACGAGGTACATTAATTTTTGACAAAGTAATTACAATGCTTCTCCAACAACAAGTAAAAAATTACAGTGTTTTCAGGGTAAATCGACTGTCACACTACGATTTATTCGTATGATGTAGCACTATTCCTGGTCACCTTAACAATTTAATTAACTGTGCTATAGTTTAAAAATAATTACTTTAGTACAATTCTATTGCATTCTACAGTAAAATATTTTTTTTTGATAAACGTTGCAGGTGTATTTATCAAAACCGTATCTAATTGATGGTTACAAATTCGATATCAGAGTGTATACGCTAATAACATCGTGTGATCCTCTCAGGATATTTGTTTATAATGAAGGCCTTGTAAGGTGAGCCAACTAATTTCTTATAAAAGAAATTTGCCATGTGGTGCGGTCGTAAAATAATTCATTATCCCATTTATTACCGTTTGTGTCGCAAATCCGTAAGAGGCCACTATCGGATATGATGGAAAAACCTTATGACTCGACCACATGCAAATCTCTTCTTTTCTATTTCACTGTGTTATCTACAATTACTTTTCTAAATAACTAAAACAAAGAACTCGACTGCAGATTCAAAATCACGGTCACAGCAGGCAGTCTCAACTAAAACCATAGTCATCTGCTCAGGACAGGATTATAGTGCACTCTCTATTCTCTCCCTCTCATAGTCCGATGGGCCAGCAGTCCGACCAGACCGGAGAAAACTCCGGCGTGGATGCAGCGGTATACTTGGGTACTTTCCGATGCCCGAGAGCGAAAGCGAAACACCGCCAACTTCCTGACTCCGGGCTTCTATTGAGAATTTCTTGATACCCAATAACTGATTTTCACATAATCAACAGCAGCGTTTGCAACCTCAATCTAATAGATTACTGCAGTCAAAGTTCTTTAGATACACATCTTTGCATCGCAAGCGTCGTATTGGTAGTTAGTCATCAGTCATCACTCTTGGGATAAAGATAAATGTAACAACACCACACACATCAAAATCTAGAGGTTTAGGGTATAGGAAGTGACAAAGGAATAAACAACCTTACCTACATACTCGTACATGCATAACTCTCCTACTGGAACCATTTGGTAAAAAAGTAATTTGTCTTAAAGGTTTGCGACAAGTCGATATGCAGATCCAAATGCAAATAATACGACGAACGTTTTTATGCACTTAACAAATTATGCACTAAACAAGCACAGCCGCACGTATGTATACGACTCCGAAGCTGGGAGTAAACGGTAAGTTTATTTTTACCGTTTAAGACGACTGTAATAAACTACAGACAATATGAAGTACACACGCAATCAACAAAGATCCGTAAAAGCTGCAGCAAGAACCAGGTGAGCAGTGCTTTACCTGAGAGGAAGCCCGGGTAATTGGATCAGCTCTGTTAACTGCACTGTACCCCAAGAAATCGGACAGATGTAGAAGACTAGAAGACCGGATAGTTATTATTATTTTTTTTATGACATCTGTCGCTAAAACAGCGTATTGTTTTCTGTGTAAAAAGTGAAAGGGGTCTAGCATAACATATAATAAATGTAAAAATAACCATATAGGAATTTTTAAGCTATTGCATAGCTTCTATCTCGGGCCTTGAGTGCGGGAAAATCCAGAAATTTCGTAACGAAAAAAACCTCACGCTCTCCGACGGGCACGGAGGTGTGGCTTGAAGGCCGTGCATTGTCTAACGATGGTCTAATGTCGTTTCTTTTCCTCAGTCTTCGACACGGTGTTTGTGTATAAAGTGTTTTGAAATTTTGAATATGAATGAACAAAGTGCATTTATTATTAAGGCTGCTCTCTCGCAAAAAGCTTGAAAAAAGCGTGCAGATGAACCAACTTTTCGTCGACACTTACAGAGAAATTACATATGAAAAAAATAGCTAGTAATCTACATGATCTGATACGTAATCTGGTTTAGCCATAATTTTTCTATCGGTGTCACATAATAAATAAAAAAATACTCAAATCACCTCCAAATCGTTGAGATGAAACCACTTTACTCCTTCATTGTTTATCAAAGGAATATAAAAAAAATATCTACTGCTTTGCAATACAAAATAAAATAATTTGGTTTGGTTACTTTTTAGAAATATGTATTATTTTTACGATAATAAATTAAAAATGCGTCCCGATTAAATACTGCGTCTATATCACCCCCGCATTCGTCCACGAATTCAGTGCGGGGCGCATCGTGTTGCTAGGAGGACGTACGCCGCGTTGCGAGAGCTCAGCACTACGAAATAAAATCGTAAAATATTACTGCAAAAATTTAATTTTGTTAATAGTGGAGTAGGTTTTTTCTGATTCTTGTTTAATAGTAGTGTTTTATAGTTATATTAATTGTACAGTTTTATTAATGTTTAAGTTTAGTTTGTAAAACATGGGGAATAAGCAGAAACGATTGAAGAGAGGTCTAAAAAAAATATTACAAACAAAAGGGTATACATTTATCAAGGTAAGTTTTAAGTTTTATCTACATATTTCATAATATTAGACAGGTGCTGTTTATAAAATACCTATATTACTGTGATTTCGCCACTCTGTGACGAGACAAAGCGCGGCAAACACAAGTGGGATACAATATTAACTTCTCATTTATACAATAAGAGAAAAAAAATTGTTTTCTTATCGGTCACCACGCTCAAAAAGTGTAACTTGATTTAATATCAAAGACTTAAATGCATAAATAAAATAAATAATTAATTATAATTGCATAAGTTGATAAAAAATGCTATGCAATAGCTTTACCGCGGCAGTCCCCGAGTGCCACACGTCTTTTTTTTCTTTAATTTATTATGTATACACGAACACTACATATCGAATGAAACTAGGTTTTATAGGGTGTTAGTACACATCAAGCGATTTCGATGACGACTTTTACATTTTTTTTAAGTTTAATTATTGTTTTTTAATAATGTACTATTAATCTGCAATACTTCTAAAAAATATTTAAAATATATTTCTTTTTGTCAGCAAGATATCTACGTTGAACAAGATCCTGTTGTCGCAAGGTGTTGACCTGGGCCGGTTGTGGCATTCCACAGACCAGATCATAGTGAAGACTATCATATCCGCGTGGCCGATACTGAAGCACAGCTATCACGCTTGCTTTCCATCGCATGATACGGTTCCCTTCTTTAATATTTTTACCATTTTGTAATTTTCTCATGTGTGGTTAAAATTTTGAGTAAAAATTAGAGATAATTTATGAGTTTACATTTCGCAGGTTCACGCATGTTTTGAAATTCTCGGCTTCGACATTCTTTTGGATCAAAAACTTCACCCATATATTTTAGAAGTAAGTACGTTGCATTTAAAACTGGATTTAGCTCTTGAATGATAATTAACTAAAACATATTAATTAATCATCATTGAGCCGTGGTAGCTCAGATGGTTAACGCTCGCTGTAAATCATCCCTACGAACGATTTTATAACGAATTATCGAGCTTTTGTATTGATCAAGAGTGGTCTTGCATTGATATTGATATGTTAGATATATCATCTAATACGTATATACATTTGTTAGTGATGTCCATGGGTCGAAGAGGTGGCTCGATCACTGTCTGGTGACTAAAGCGGCGATAAATTCTATACAAAATGTCTATGTTATTTATGATGTGTTTTGGTCAGACCACAACCCACTTGTAATAGAATGTAATTTAAATATCGTTTCGCCTGTAAAATTACCTAACTGTATTAGTCAGAATCTAGTTTTTTGGGAGGAGAGGACGCCTGAACAAATAAACATATATCGGAATGAATGTCATAAAAAGTTACGGCTTATTGACTACCCAAATGAGTTGCATAAATGTAGTGATAACATGTGTTCTGATATTACTCATAGAATTGTTATTGATAATTTGTATAAAAATATTGTAATGGCTCCAAAGGCGTCCTCCGTAGTAGGACGTAACTGTAAAAAATCGAAAAAAAAGGTAGTTGTGGGCTGGAACAGGCATGTTGCGGAAGCACATCGAAGGCCCAGGTTAAAGTTCCACCTGTGGGTGTGGCATGATAAACCTACTTCCGGTACTATATATGAGGAAATGTGTGAAGCTAGAAAAATATTTAAATATCGCTTGAAGTGGTGTCAAGATCACGAAAATCAAGTTAAGATGGATATTCTAGCTTCACATCGTTCGAAAAAAGTATACCAAAAAACGCAGAGAAACATCTAAATCCAAACAAAGAAAAGAAAATAACTTTTACAATTAAAGAAATAGATCAGGTAGTTAAATCTATGTCTAGAGGTAAATCCCCTGGCCATGATGGGCTCAGTATCGAACATCTCAAGTTTGCTGGCCCGCACCTACCTAGGACTATTTATTATTTAATATCTGCCTAGGACATGGATACGTGCCCCCTGACATGATACGTACGGTTGTAGTGCCTATAGTGAAGAATAAAACAGGCAATCTCGCGGAAAAAAACAACTATAGACCTATATCGTTAGCAACTGTCATTTCAAAAGTATTTGATAGTGTGCTTAATTCGCAATTAAATAAATACATAAAACCATACGACAGTCAATTTGGGTTCAGACCGAAATTGTCTACAGAAAGCGCGGTGTTGTGTCTTAAGCGCACTGTCACTTACTACACGGCACGCAAAACGCCAGTCTTCGCTTGTTTCTTAGACCTCTCAAAGGCTTTTGACCTTGTGTCCTACGACTTACTGTGGGATAAACTGGAGAAGATCCAACTACCTTTGGAACTCATAAGTATTTTCAAGTATTGGTACGGCAACCAGGTCAATAATGTGAGATGGGAAGGTGCCCTATCTAGATCATACAGTTTGGAGTGCGGGGTAAGACATGGGGGTTTGAGTTCGCGCACGCTCTTCAACCTGTATGTGAATGAGCTGATAGGTAAACTCAACAGCAACAGAGTCGGCTGTCACATAGACGATGTCTGTGGCAACAACATCAGTTACGCAGATGACATGGTGTTGTTGAGTGCATCTATATGCGGCCTACGAAGACTGGTGAAGATTTGTGAAGCTTACGCTCTCACATATGGTTTGACTTATAATGTAAAAAAGAGCCACGTCATGGTCTTTGAGACCGGGAGTAAGAGACATGACATAGTACCATCTATTTCAATTAATGGTAATATTTTACAAAGAGCGTTTAGGTATAAATATCTTGGCCATGTTCTGACTCCTGGTCTCAGGGATGATGATGACATTGAGAGGGACATTGAGAGGGAAAAATTTTACACGTGCAGCCTGTGGGCTAGATATACTCAAAAGGCTTACAACGCCCTCCGAGTACAATACAACAACGCATTTAGGGTGCTGCTGGGACTGCCTTGCTTCTGTAGTGCATCAGGTATGTTCGCGGAAGCGCGGGTGGACTGCTTTTATGCGACTATGGGCAAGAGGCGCGCGTCTCTGGTGCGCAGGATGCGGGGGAGCAACAATAGTATCCTGAAAGTGATTGCTAGCAGGCTGGACTGCCTATACAGGTGCCATTGTAGTGTCATATCGGGTGGATTGGTAAGAAAATGGCACATATAAATATAAATGAATTTTTTTTTGTACTTCATATAATTATATTAAATAATAATATTATGCTTACTAACATAGTTATAAGTTTAGTTATAAGTAATATTAACAAAATATGAGCCTTGGTTGCTTAAATAAATGAAATTCTTCTTCTTCTTCTTAAATATAACAATACGCGAGTAACCCGGGTTCGATCCCCGCCGGCACCAATGAAATTGTTAATTGCAATTTTAAGTGCTGATTTACCACGTGCTCAGCGGTGAAGATACATCGTTAAAACCTGCATGTCGGAGGAATAAGAAAAAAAATTATTTCGAAGAAATGTGAAGTTCGCCAACACGCATTGGGGCAGCGCGGCGGACACTTCCTTGCCCTAAAACCCTCTCAGAAATGAGGGGAGGCCTGTGCCCAGTATATAGGCTGTAAGCTGTAACTTTACTTTTACTAATCATCATTCAAGAGCTTATTGCATTATTAAATATTTATATAGTAAGCAAAATTTAGTTATTAATCAATGATCTGTAGTTAAATAATATGAAAGTTTAATACTAATTTAAAAAAGTGTCATTTACAGTTATTTTCGCGTTATTATTGATTTCACTTATTTAAACTCGCGACGATTCGATTCGAGTGCTTTGCAGCATCCATGACTACAGGGACACAAGTACTTTTCTTAGTGGGGGCGACTCCTCAAAATTAACCTAGAGTACCTTCAGCTTTTAATTATTTAATTTTGGTCCGCGTTACACAGAATGAGCTTAGTGTACCTTGGAAGTCATGCAGTGGTATGCTTGGGTTTGGATTTACCGTTAAAGTTACCGTTACAGCCTATTAAAGTCCACAGCTGAACATAAAACTCCCTCAGAGATTGCCTCATATATATAGATATTTTCCATAGTTGCCATACGTGACAAGCAGGTTGCCAACTGTAGTTTATTTTTTATTTTTAGCCGTTATTAGGTAGATTTAATTTTATTAATGACAAGATCCCAAGCAGGTGGTAGTACCTACCACAGAATAAATCATGAAGGTTAGAGAACAGGAGAACGATCGCCGTAGAAAATAGTGTCCCAGAAATATGGACACCATCAGAGAGGCGCTGCGATCACTAAGTGCAGTCAATAAAAGTCATTTTCAGTCTATTTTTCCGATCAGATGCTCAACCACTTGCACATCCACGCACAATAAAATATTTCTCCATTTTTTAATGTTTCTTTTTGTCAAAAATTACAAAATTACGGAGCATGAAAATTTTCTACGATTAAATGAAAGGAAAATTTGTACATTATTCAACTAACTTCACCTACTTGTACTCATAAACAGCTAACTACGCAGTCACTTCTCACCGACGTCAACGCCGCTATGTATTCCACAATTTTCAAGGACAGGCGGGCTATGCTTTAGTACGTAGCTAGGTACGTAGTGATCGTTCTCCTGTTCTCTAACCTTCATGGAATAAATAATAGTTGGTAATACACAGCCGCCTTCTCTGTTGAAATTAGGATAATCATTAATTTCAATAAGAAATCGATGTTCTGATTTAGTCCCGAGGGTTTTTTTTCTTCCAAGAGTGTATGCTGTTGGCCCTGCAGCCTTTACAGCTTCATCGAAATAGACTCGTGAGCGAGAACTGCTTTTGGAGATAGGCTCCTCTAGCTGGGGGTGTGGCTCGATGTGATTCAAGGGACCTCTAAAGGAAGTACGAACCTCGGCTTGAACCACTATCGTAACGAGGGTCGTGAGATCGCGATACTAGCTTGCCAGGCAGACGTTGTTCTGCCCTTTTCGAAGACCCTTTGTCATGTCCTATTAAAAATCCTTAAATTCGCAAAAAAAATGTGGGCCACTCATGGGCAAAAAAACTATCCTATCTCTCAAGTTGGACAAAACTGCACACGGTGTGCTAATTTTATTAAAATCGGTTGAGTAGTTTAGGAGTCCATCACTAGAGATATATTATATATATATATATATATATATATATATATATATATAATATCTCTAGTTATTTTATGCGGGTTTTTAGAGATCACGTTTATATTTTATATGTAAGGAAAGTAATTAAATGTGGGCTAGTGCTTTAATATGTGCGTAAATATTCTAGAAAACAAATAATTAAAAGGCGCTGCAAACGAGTATCTTTTATTGCATTCATTAGACCAAACATCGCAATCACTGTATCTCGTGAGTTCTGCGAGAGGTGAATAAGGTAGGACCAAAGATATTTTATAGAAAACATCTTTGGGTAAGACGTTGTTCACCGCTCTCAAAAAATTTCGTAAGATGAGTAAAAATATGTTATTTTATCGATGATAATCAGGACTAAATTGTATAACTATATCTTTTATTTGTAGAATATAAGTTTATTGTTATGTCTATCGGTAGATTAATTGTTAGTAATGTATGACTTGTGAAGTACAAGTTCAACATTATTTCGTTCCAGAATTTTGAATACGGGCTATGACTATTGTCCTTAATATGGGCTGGCCCATAGTAACTAACCACCCAGTATACTTAGGTGGTTAGAAATCAGTCTCTAAAGGTAATTTATTAATCTTTTTTTCTAAATGACACCGACGCAATTAAAAGAACCAAGTAAAAATTGGGATGAAGAACAAATGGTTAAAGTAATAAATGGTTCGCGAGAAGACTTCGTATCCCATAAAAGAGACTTTGTTTAAATAAATAGAAGAATATCGAAAAAGAAAAGAAAACTAAAGATATGAAAGTCAAAGTAGAGAAAACGAAACCCTAGAAATAAGAAAGAAAAAACAAGAAAACAACTAGTGACGATGAAGTAATTGCCAGTGAAGGTGGAGAGGTTTTCCAGTTTGGTTCAGACCCTGAATCAGATATTATCGGTAAAGAAGCTCCTGATTCTGCAGATGCATAATGTATGTTCTGCCAGCAACATTTTTCAGAAAATTCAGGAGACTGGATTAAATTCTTGATGTGTGGGTTCTGGGCACATAATGACTGTGCTGGGCCAGAATTTGATAGTTAGATATGAGACATTTGGAAGTTAAATAGTTCATTTCTTACTCTTACCAAAGTTAATTATTGATCTCTTAGTAGATAAGCAGTTATGCTTATTATTTTCTTCAAAGATAATTAAGTTGTTATAGCCCATATTTGAGTAAATGTTACATATTTAGTGCCAATTTTGCAATTTTGTTTAATGCTCAATTTTGATAGTATAGTTTAATCTTGAGTATTTAACCAATTGAATTCAAAGAGTTTAGTAATAAAAACATAAGACTGTTATTTTGCTCTTTAAAAATATATGTCTAAATATTATAACATTAATATAAAGGTGATATTTAAATGGTTTTTAATTTTTGACCTCAAAACAAAATGGTAGCCCATATTAAGTTACTCTCCTCTAATGAACAAAAAGGTCTAATAAAACTCGCGTCGTTATATGACTTCGGGAGTAAAAATAAGTTAAATTAAGGCGACACCGTGAAAAAAATGCATCTCCTTTCATCGAATAGTATAGGACTATGACACCACTAACGAAAGTGGAATTTTGATATAGGTAAATTCATGTCTTTATTTTGAATTTGATTGTTCAAAAACACGATTGTATAATTTTGACTCGATCATAATTATTTGCGAAAACACCTCTAAAAAATCACTATAGTTGAAATTATAACTTTTGTGCTTTATAATTGATGATATATTGGAATCACTCAAATATATTCATAACATCAATATTCATAATTTACTTGCTCATTATTTTGATTACTTAAATCAATAATTAAAAAAAATATATTTTAAGATTCTGACAATTTCTAAGCACTTTTAATCGTCGCGGGCGCTACGCTATTTTAGACCTTATGACGGCGTTTTTTCAAGTTTTTATAGAAATTATGTATTCACTCGGATCAGTACGGCGATAGCCTTTTCGATTCGAGAAAATTAGTAAAAGTAGTTTGACCTAATTAATTCCTTTATTAATTGTAAATTGCAGCGATATTCACTGTGATCTGAAGGGCATGTTTATTCTGCTTTATAGAACAGATAAATTATTTTGTTCTCATACTATTACGTAAATGTGTACCTACCTAAAGCCAAAATATCTAAAGAAAAAAAGAGAATTTACAGTGGAATAAATTATGACATTTTTTTATACAATTTACAAACAGGTATGTTAGAAATTTAAATGTAATTTCTCTTAACAGGTGAACCATTCGCCGAGCTTCCACACAGATACTCAATTGGACCGAGAAGTTAAGGAAAACCTTCTCACCGATACTTTCACAATGCTAAACATCTGGCAGTGTGATAAAAAACGTGTCCTAGAAGAAGATCGGAAAAGAATACGAGAGAGACTTCTGCAGACTAACAAGTAAATATTTTACTTGTATGTTCTGCCGGGCGCTGCTTGATTAGGCTGCAATAATTATGATAATTAAAATTTGTTAGTCTGGCATATGCCAGACATTTTGAAACAGACCCTAAGCATGCCAGGTTTCTTCACATTATAAAATTTTGCTAGAATCGAACTAGGGTTGCTTCTTATATAATTATAGGCGGCCGAGCGGGCTTTTAGCTATATATCTGGAACGCTTTAGCCTGTACACGGGGTTTGGGACACCCGAAGATTGAGGTCTTTTAGAAAGTTTAAATACTAATATATAAAAGAAAACAGCTAAATATACATTTATTTAACAATTAATGTTGTTCATACACCATATTTACACAAAAAAACTTAACTTCAATTCAATACATTTTTTAATCTCTTAACCTATCATGTGGGAAGCCATGAAATGTAAATGGCTGTTTAATTTTGTTTTGTTTAGTTATAATTAATTTTTTTTACCTGAAAGGCCTCAATAAAATATATTACTAAATACATTGTTTAAAGCGCAGAGGCTCGTTGAAAATATCGATAGCTGTAGAAATACAAAATATTCCAAATACCAAATTTGATACAACTTGACCAAGTTAAGATATTATTATTATTTTTATAATAACAGAATTTCATTATCGTATATTGTTTCGCTAAAAGTAGGATTTTTAACGAGTTAGGTAGACTATATAATTTTTACGATAATGCCTGAATATTAATACCTAAAAATTAAAGTAATTTTAAAGTTGATTTCTGATCGTTTGATCGATAATTCTGTTAAAGAAATTCTATTAACAATAATAAAAAACTTTTGAATCTCATAATAACATAAAAAAATAAAATTATAAAAACAATATTTTCTATTTTCGATTAAGAATTTTTTTCTACATTTTTTTAACGATCATATTATAAGAATTAATCGTGCACTTTTGGATTTTCCAAACTTTTTTATTGATGTGTGACATAAAATTATCAGGAAATTAGAAGTACCTAATAGTAACAAGGATATTTGTGGAAACTTGTGTATATTTAAATACTTTAAAAAACTGACGTATAACATGAGCGCTTGAGGCATGCAAATTAGAATTTACCAAAGTTTTATTTAAATTATGATCCTAATTGCAGTTATTTATTGTAGGCTATTAAAATGATACATTGTTCAGTATTTGCCTCTATAAGGCGCTATTATTTTTTTTAGTTTTTTAGTTTTTGGTTTTAACAAGCGCCTCCTATGTTAGTCTCGCCAATCGGCCGCGCTTCAGCTTCGCTGTTAATAAAGTATACCTGATTATTTGAAATATAAATCATTCATTGTATGACTACCATACCTGAAAATAAAAATCAACAAAAGTGCATATTTTATTGCTGTATATTATAGGCCGACATAAACGACCACTAAATATACTCTTTGACTCTCGATCCAGGTTCTCCGAAAGTCTCAACGCAGAAGACAAAGAGCCCGAAAAAAGTCCATGGCAAACGCAAATACAGTGGGAGGAAACGCATTTAGGTAACTTTAGGTAATAAACTATTTTTCTATAAGATAACTGTATATCAGTAAGCCCTAGATGGTAAAACGCACCGTCTTAGAGTTACAAAATCCTATTTACTCTTGCCTTGAAGACGCTAGATTGTAATCAAACGGAAAGACACACGTCGCTAGATAATCCATTCCTTTTGTTTTTTTATATGACAGGGTGACAAACGAGCACACAGTCCACCTGATGGTAAGTGGTTGCTGTGGCCCATAGACATCTACATCTATCTTCAATTACAAATCAAAATGCAGGTGCGTTGTCACGCGTGAGGACTAAGATGGAATGCTTCGTTTCCAGTAAAAAGGGTCTCCGCTTCACTACACTCACCATACGAAACACAGCAGCATTAAGCTACTATTTGACGCTGGTATTCTGTGAGAGCGTGGTCCTTCCCCGGTCGAGCCGACCCATTCGTGCTGCAACTATTCTACTAATGTAACTGCAGCATGGCTCTACCAAAAGTTATACGCATGATGAGAAATGAAGCAAACCGTTTAGTTCGAAAGCGTGGGAATGGTGAAAACGGTTATTTTTGGCGCTCATACAATCCAGACATCGTTCTGATAACAACTCAATACAAAACCTGCCAAGTGTGGCAACTAATGCAAATAACTCCCTTCTTTACAATGAAGCAACCGTAGGGGGAGGCCAATGTTCATCAGTTGAATTTAGATAAGCTGAATGAATAATTAATGCATTCAGGTAATATATACGTTATAGGTAAATTTCTCCATAAATTTACCTTTTACTTTTTGACACCACATCTTGGTCAATGACTAATATTTTCTCTTTCTCAAAATTCTTTTTTTGTTTTTAGAGAGAATTATATTTAATTTTGGATTCCACAGGCGTGTATACCCTGAGGGTGATCAATACGCGGCGCTATTCCAGCAGCCGACAGGCTCACTGTACACTGGTACAGCGTCGTCACGCGCCCGCGGCGACTGCGCTCGTATACAGCGTGAGCAATTTGAGGTAAAGATAGACTTTAAATTTTTATTTATTTATTTATTTATTGATCTCTTCACAACTTCTTACTGACTAGTTAACAATAACAATGTAGCTTAGGTCCTTAGACCTAACGTTGTGAGAGACTGGTGCCTATGATAGGTTTTATAATAAAACCTGACTTACAGGTCACCAGGGCCCCCTCGCGGTTAGATGAATTGTAAAATTCATATAATGGATATGAGTGTGTGTGTGTGACAGCCAGGGAAGGGGAAGCCTAAATCAGAGACCACAGTTGCTCTATTGTGGCTGTGGAAATCATTATTCCACGAACTAATGATGTCGTTAAAATTAGGAAAATGACACGCGATTTTTCTTAGCTTACGAGATATGATTTTTTTTTGTATTATTTTGAAAAATGTCGACTTAGCGATTCAAAAATGTTTTTCTTGAAAATTCTGCTCTCTTTTCTACTTTTTTATTCTTAGCGTAGTCTTCATGAGTTGGACTCTTTGACATAAAAAATAAGCTACCTACCATTAATACAAATTGCAAAAATTTTAATCGAAAACAAATCATGCAGATATGATTGAATCAAAGTTTAATTTTAAAATTTAAACTAAAAATTAAATAATGAGTTCCATGACTTTAAAGTAATTTTAAAAACTTCGCAAGACCCTAAGCTTTAGTTATAATACAAAAAAAGTGGTGGTCAATGGGCCTTTTTTTAGCCCTAGTCGGCCTTTAATTGCAGAGAGCCAAAAAGTTCAAAAATAATCGTTTTATTATGCACCTATTGTTTATTACTAAGGATAATTAGATTGTCATGGTATGTCATAATCTTTCATAATAAATAAAACAATTTGGTTTTTAATACTTATTTTATTTTACAACCAATTCTCAAAGTACCCCCCCCCTCCACTTCAATACACAGTCTACAACGCCTTAGAAAATTTTGTTTCAGTCTTCTAAAAGCATTTGAATTTTGTCTGATTTTTGTTTCCGCCTCCGTTAATTTATCTCGCAGTTCTGCTTCGGTGTTTGTTTCGCTTGCGTACACCATCTCTTTGTAATATCCCCAGAGAAAGAAATCTATGGGGTTCAAATCTGGTGAACGTGAAGGCCAATGAATCGGTCCGCCACGCCCAATTCATCTATTGGGGAATCTTTGATTAAGGTGCTCCCGTACCTCTCTTGCATAGTGGCAAGGAGCACCATCATTTTGGTAAATCATATCCCTTCTTGTCAATAAGTTTACATCGCCTAATAAGCCGTTTAAATTGGTTTGTAAAAAGTCTAAATATTGGGCTCCGTTTAACCTAGCAGGCAATTCAAAAGGTCCTCCAATAAGTTCCCCGTTCAAAATTCCTGACCACAAGTTTACACTATAATGTGTTTGAAAATTTGAAGGTCTTGCCTTGTGTGGGTCTTCAACAGCCCAACTATGGTAATTGTGGATATTGAAGACTCCTGTTCTTTCAAATCTAGACTCGTCTGTCCACAGAATTTTATCAAAAAAACCTGGATCCTCCGCAGTTCTTTCCAGCATTGTTCGACAAAAAGTCACCCGTCTTGAATAATCTGCAGGATGCAATTTTTGGACGTATGATAAGCGTGGTATCCCTCTGAAAAAAAAAACGAAATTGTACTTCCAGGAATCACTGTTTTTATTCCATGAAATGTGGTTTTTGCCCGACATAAGTAATTAAAATTAATTGATCGCTCGTCGCTATTCAAAGGTGCGCTTTAATACGGTGTCAAAGTAAAAGTTTTAAAGACAAAATGAACTTACCTGACTTAAGTATCCTTATAACTGAGGTTCGTGGTACACCAGTCGTTCTCGTAATAGCTCTGGTGCTAGTAAAAGGATATCTTTGCACTTGTTCCACGACTTCATGTCTGACATCTGGATCCTCTCTGGGTACTCCTTCGTGGGAACTGCGTCCCGGAATTCGTCCGTCCATAAATGTATTATGTGTATTTATGAACACTCTGTGATCGGGAAAAAGTTCCCGTTCTTCTCCTCGCCGTTCTAGTTTCTCTCGGTAAATCCTTGCCGCTAAATGGCCATTGCTTTGGGCAACGCCGTAAAAATAATGCATTTCTGCATATTCCTTCAAAGAATAACTCATTTTGCAACACAAAAATCCAAATCACAAGGTAATCAATCAAAGTCCGAAACACAAGCATAGTCAAATCAGTTATAAGGCGAAACAGAATCCAGTTAGCAAGCAGTCGTGGTAAATTAGGAAGTATCGAAAACAAAAACTGGATAGTAGTTACGCGAGCGATAGCTGTGAAGCTGTGAACAACTGAGGCACTCTATGACTGAGGCTACGCCTGTCGCCTTATGCGCGCGAGCTATGGCCAGAGCGAGAGAGCGCGCTACACACGACACAGTATTTCTCACTCCTGCTTCCTTTGTTCGACACGTGGTATTTTTTGTGATCTGCAACCGTCTACCTGCCTATTACTATTATTATTCATTATCTCATTGACATTGAGGGGAAATTCGTTGTTTTTTTGTGACCCATCTGTGCTACTTACTGAAGTGGTACTATTTACATTTCATTTTATTTTATTTAATTTGATTAGATTCTATGGCGAACCTAATTATTTTTAGAAATAAGGTGTTTAAATAATAATGTTGAAAATTTTCGCCTCTGTGCAATTAGAGGCTGATTACGGCTAAACAAGGCCCATTGACCACCACTTTATTTTAGATTATAATTAAAGCTTAGGGTCTTGCGAAGTTTTTAAAATTACTTTAAAGTAATGGAACTCATTATTTAATTTTTTAGTTTAAATTTCGAAATTAAATCGAAATCATAATCAAATCATATCTGCATAATTTGTTTTTGATTAAAATTTTTTGCAATTTGTATTAATGGTAGGCAGCTTATTTTTTTATGTCAAAGAGTCCAACTCATGAAGACTACGCTAAGAATAAAAAAAAGTAAAAAAAGAGAGCAGAATTTTCAAGAAAAAAAATTTTTGAATCGCTAAGTCGACATTTTTCAAAATAATACAAAAAAAATCATATCTCGTAAACTAAGAAAAATCGCGGAACATACATGGGGTATTTTCATGTAGCCCGAAAGCTCAGCATTACAAAAAAATTTTTTGGACGTCACCTTTTGGACCACCCAGTATAGATAATAATTAATAATATAATATACTATATTTTAATAATATCTCACACTCTATTTTACTCTCCGTCGGCATCAATGAAATTGTTAATTGCAATTTTAAGTGCTGATTTACCACGTGCTCTGTGGTGAAGGAATACATCGTGAGGAAATCTCCACGTCTGAGAAATAAGAAAAAAATATTTCGAAGACATGTAAAGTTTGCCAACACCCATTGGGGCAACGCGGCGGACTATTCCTTGCCCTAAAATACCCTCTCAGAAATATGCGTCCGGTGCCCAGGACCAGGAGTGGGATGTATATAGGCTGTAACTTTAACTTTTACTTTTAACTACATTTTTAAATACTTAACGATATTATTGCTTGCTTGTTTTTTGTAAATGCGTACATGATGCTTTACAAACATACGTCATTACTCTGAAGCGTGCCCAGCTTTTGAACGTATTTTGAAGGAGTATGGGATGGGAACGTGTTGCAACGTTCTAGAGATAATGATGATTTATAATAATAATATAGAACTCTAGTGGTATGGAATGAATGGTGGTATAGAACTCTAGTAGATACTTAAAAAATATTATAGAGTATTCCAAAATGTCGTACGTTTTGTATAGAGACTTCGTTCTGTAATTTACTGCTATAAAAATTAATATTTGTCCAGCAATTAATGCATAGCTCAATTTATATTTTAAATACTACTAACTCTTATTTAATAACCAAATATGATTCTTCGTCACTTACATAGATTTAGTATAAACTTACGTGTTACTTGTAAACTTAATCAATACTAAATTAATAAAAAGCTTTTAAATATGCCTAGCTCTTAAATAATCAGACCAATGGTTTAAAGCGAAGCAAATGGTATGGCACGTTGACTATTGGTGTTGATTTCTAATCATATCAAGAAAGGACTATTTATGTCCAATGGTGGGCTGTTTTTGTTGATGGTGATAAAGAAAATGAGGAAGATTTGTAAAGCAACACAAACTTGAAAAAAAGATTTGTAAAACAAAGCAAGTATGAGCCAATTCAGAAATTTTAGGTCTCAAATTATTTTAACCAATCCACAATCAAAGTTCGCCTGTGCTTAAAAAATATTGGATATCATCAACGACATGTTATTTTATTTACTTTTAGCACATTAGGTCAATTTTAAAACTTTAGAAATTTTTACTTCACACACGATAATCACAAATTAAATTTTTTAGCAAGTAAAAGCAAAGGCTGAAGCTCTGAAAAAGCCGTCCCAATTGAAACCCATTAAGGAAAGCGAGAAAAAAGAAGATGAGATTTCAGCTGCAGCCGCTGATATTATTACAGAGAAGCCTAAAGTAAAGACGCGTGCAAATAAAGAACAGAAACGGAAAGATAACGAAGAAAAGGACAAGATAAAGACGCCTTTACAATCACAACAACCTGTTAGTTGTTTCCTTTACTTTGTCGAACAATTAATTTTACGTGTTTAAATTAGTAATAAGTAATGATATTTTAAAACACAATTTATTGTAGGTTAAAGTTATTTTAATTTTATTAAGAAGATTAACCCTACATGCTGTAAGCTGTAAGTATTATGAAGCGAGTTATGGAGCTAAGTTAGAGCCATCCGCGTAATACAATCCAATAAAGACTATTCGCAGTAAACCAGAGTATTTCACGTAGCCCAACGTATCTGAAGGCTGAAATGACAATGGGACGGTAATAATGCTCGAAGAGCTGACAGCTGACTGATTGTATTTTTATAGCAGAGGGGCAACCGAGCGTGCGGCTCATCTGATGGTGAGTGTCGAGGGACGCCGCCCACAAACAAATGTGTTACTGGCCTTTTAAAAAGGAGTAAGCTCGTTTCCTGACGGTTTCTAAGTTGCAGTCCAGAAAAAATCACCAGTGATAGATGTTTCCACAAAGAAGTCGTGAGAGGAAGAAAACTAAATCGTACAGTGGTGGACCGCCAAGCATCCAGATGGCGTGGATGGTATCGTGCGTTTTGTCGCGATGTGCGATGGTGGAATTACGCGGCTAGAATTGATCCATACAATTCGTCTGGGCACGGTCCGTATTAAATCCGATAGAAAAGACAAAGGGTTGCAACACTTTTTCGCAACGCCAATGAAACGGGCCTTCGTTGCTCATCGTTGGATGTGTGTGATGTGTCAAGTGGAAAGAATTGGTACTATGGTACCCCGGCCCAGATGTGAGAACAGTATTCCATATGCGGCCAACATGCCCCTTATAAAGTTGCGTGAACGGCGAACGGGAATGGCTCCTTTCGTGATTATACAAAATGGATCAATTACCGTTACTTATTAAGTCAGCAGTGGACTTTGATAGACTGCAGGAGAGACGTATGTTTCTTAATAGGCTGCAAAGATAACTAATCTATCTTCTTTAGATATTTGCCACAGATACCCTGCTAGACAGGAGGGTTGGCGACCATTTTTTTAAAAGTATTTAATAGGAAGACACTGGTACCCATCTCTTGGTTTGATTCCCTCTGTCGCCTATTACGATACGACACCCACGACCATGATACAGCAACGATATGGGCACTGGTTAATCTAAAACCACCAACCACTACACCTTCAATTATATCATAGATTGTACAAAATGGATCTACACTCCCAAATTAAGAATAAAAATACAACTATTTTTCAAAACTGTCTAAGGTTTCCTACCTTTAGAAGAACACTTTAGTTTTCTTTATTATATTATAAATAAATTTTACAAATATTTTCTTTTAATATTGGCGCAATAATTCATTGAGTCTAGGGCGCCATTTAATTTAAATCTGTTACTGGTCAAATGGTACAGTGTGGCTTATTTTGTGTTGAGTAAATGGAATAATAAAATAGTTTACAGCTTGCTATTAAGCACAGGCCTTCTCTCATTTTTAAGAAGGTCTTTGGGGCAAGGCTATCCTGACGCGCTTTCTGAAAGTGTTTTGGCGGATTTCACATGTTCTCGAAATATTGTGATTTCTCAGTTAAGCAAGCTCACGATGTTTTCCGAGCACTTAATAAATCAGCACTGAAAATTGCTATTAACCATTCATTAGTGCCGATGGGAATGAAATTTGATTTGCTTGTGTAGGTACTATGAAATTGTACTAAGCTATTACGACGCTTTACTTGAATAATAGAATATAATAAAGCAGTTTGTGTTAATGGCACTTTGTTTAAAAATATAATATTTGTATCCAGGCTGTAGAAAAAGAAATAAAACCTACGCATGTATTGTGCTCTTTTGAACCGGATCCCATAATCGAAAAGGAGGAGCGTGAGCGCGTTAATCTTTTGGCCCAACGAGATTTCCTCATCAGGAGTTACGGCATGCTGGAACAAGTAAGTATATATTTTTGTTCTGTACTTTTTTATTTCATGCGAAAATTACCAAAATGGAATATTCATGGACCTAACATAACCATAGAGGCGATAAAACATTTTTAGGGAAAACACTGCTGTCTGCTTATAGCAAAAAGGATCGTTCAGAAAATTCTATAAAATATTCATGAACATTGGAAAGCCGATGCAGATAGATCTAAAATTATCGGAATTGCGCGCTATCCATTGCTATGAACTTCTTGTAGTGGGGGAGGGAGATTCTGATGGGGCGGGACAATAATTGTAGGAACACGAATGGTGATAGTGAGTAATAACTTTCGCCTTCATTATTAATATGAAAAAGCGACGCTCTTGCAGATATATCTGGCGATGAAGAAAATGGGAACACTGAGACCAGAGGATGAACGCAAGTATGGTCTCTACGGACGTCTAACGGCTATCTCCAATTCATCTAAGGTAAATAAAGCGTTACAAATCCATCAATGTTGCCACAATCGGATTGTAAAAAAATAATTTTCACACAATGACATAAGATTACTTAAAATATCATTGTTTTCACATAACAACTTAGGAAAACGGAAGTCGGTGCTAAAACTTAAGACATGTCTTCAGAAGCTTTTATGTGGAAATTATTTACATAATTCTTTTTAGCTGATTTGAATTCGTCTTATAGACTCAATATACACTGCTGCGGAACGGAATGGAGGCGAATTTTTGTAACGAAATTGTACATAGTAAAATGAGTCTTATGTTAATTGTGTAACGCGCAAACTAGATACGAGTCATATGAGCCAAAAAAGAAGTGGCGCGTCTTCTGGGCAATTTTCGACAAAAAGCACACAGCAGTGTAAATTGAGTCTAAGAAAAGAGTAATTAAATCGGTGCACAATAGGCGAATATATTGCATACAGACCGAACTATCTACACAAAAGATGAATCTACTTGTCTGGAAGAAAACGCGTTTAGCGATAAGACCTTTGGGGCGTCTATTATTTACGTCAGGCGATTTTGGCGATTTTTCGACCCCCACGTGATATTGGGTGAGATTCGATTCGACCCCCTCTCCCCCCCTGCCCTAAACGCCTCACGTAATTAATGGACGTCCTTTTTACATTTTGTTTTATTTTTTATGTCCTATGTGTTTATTATATTATGTGTGGTTTGGTATGTGCAATAAAGAACTACTATTTCTAAACAGATACTTATATCTATCATAATAATATTTACTTATATATATATATATATCTAGTCAGGTCATAAATTCTGTCACATATTTAACATAAAATAATTGAAACAAGTTTATTCATTATGCAGCCATTTATATACCAAAATGAACCTAACAAAACATAGATTCTTATGATACTAAAGTTTATTCAAAATGACCTCCGTGATTTTGAATACAGGCCTTCAATCTGCGCGGCCAGTCGTCTATCGCAGCACGAACGAGGTCCATGTCAATATCGGCGGCTGCCTTAATCAAGGATGTCTTGAGTGACTCCTAATTGGGATGAGGCTTTGAGCACGCCTTTTCCTCCATGTGTTGCCATATCTTGTAATCTAACGGATTCAAATCTGGACTGGAGGAGGGCCAGTCTTCGTGCCAGATGAAGTCGATTTCACGCGCCGCCAGCTAGTCTTGTGTGCTCTTCGCTCTATAAGCTGGCTCTGAATCTTGTTGGAATACCCAGTGCCTGTTATTGAACATGGTATGAGAAACAGGTTCCACAAGGTTCGTCAGGACTGTATTTTGATACACAACTGCATTCGTTTTTACACCTTTCTCACAAAAATGTACCTCTGTTAAGCCCCAATAAGAAACTCCCAACCATACCATGAGCGAGGATGGAAAATGACCTCGTTGGACACGCGGAATACGGTTGCTCGCTTCTTCACAATACTGTGTGCGTACACCTTATCATTTTGTTTGTTGTAGCTCTCTTCTACGGTAAAAAAATTTTCATCCGAAAAAAGAATTTTCCGATATTTTTTTCCCCGCGTACCGCTTCAACAAAGCGCGGCATCTTTTTAGTCTCAGGTCCATTAGACGAGCATTCAAACGATGTCCTGTTTTTCTTCGATATGTCCGAAGCCCTAAGTCTTCATTTAACACCCTTTTCACCGTGGTTCTGCTTAACCCCATCTGAAGGGCCCACAGTTTCTGCTTACGTTTGGGATTTCTTTAAATTCGCGCCTTCACAGCTTTTATCACTGCTGGAGTCCTAACAGACCGAGGGCGGCCACTTCTTGACCTGTCATCTACACTAGAGTCTTCATTGTATCGTGATGGTACGATAAACGAATCTTTTGGTTATATATTCAAAAATTTGAATTGGCGCGTAACAGCAACGATGCAACCCAATAACTGCAACACGGTCTTCTTTAAGCGTCCACTCCATATTTAAAAATGAGTAAAATTCTAAAAAGTATAAGTTTTATTTTCATTAACAATTCGAATTCAATAAACTTTTAAGTTTTTACTTTGTGACAATACTTATGACCTGACTAGGTATATATATAGTCGAATTGAAAACCTCCTCCTTTTTGAAGTCTGTTAAAAACATTGTTTAACCTAAACCATCAGTAAATCAGCTATAACTATAATAATGTAATTTGTCTTCGCAACAGTTACATTTATATTAAATAAAAAATATATTTCCTTTGCAGAAAGTGTAAAGCTGGTGAAACAATGGTACCGTACAAATTTCAGTGTTAAGGAGACAAAATTAGAAAAAAGACAAGAGCTAGGCATCAATGTAAACTAATAAAACCTTACGTTAAGTTTGATTTAACTTTAATTTTTGTCTAATAAATTTGTGTGTCAACAGCCAAGTGAATTACAAAAAGTAGGTTGGTATTATCCTTTTTCATTTCCTATTTTTTTTTTATAAAATAAAAGTTACAAGCGAATTTACATTTCACCAGATGGAAAGTTGCCACTGCAGTCCTACATAGAGTGAGATTGAGTTTTGTAAGGCTAAAAGAGTTGTGTGAGTTTGTATTATTTTTTTTAATATGGCTCTTTTGTTTCTCGGATTATTCACTGTCAGTGTGTAGGTTTATTGATAAGTGTGGGCTTAAGCTACGGTTTAAGAAATATTATTAATAATATTTTTTATAAAAAAATGTCTCTTAGCCTCGGCGCCACTGACTTCGCGATTATAACATTTGCTATCGGAATTTGATAGCAAATATCATAATCGTGAAGTCTACTCTTAGGTACTTTGCATTATAGTTTACATATTTTCCGGAGGTGTTCCTTTTGCCAGCACAAACAATTACAAAAATAGTAAATATATTTTACTTTTTTTAAACTGAAGCGACAAACAATGGTAAGAAGTTATTGCAGTCGATGGGCACCTGTATCTACATCTAGCTTCTTTTAAAAATCAAAATGTAAATGCGTTGTCACCTTTGAGTATGTACCTACTAAAACCTCACACAGCCTCTAAGGGGCCATTCATTATTGCGTAAGGGTCCCGAGGGGGAGGGGGCATTGAAAAAATCTCTTCATGGGGGGAGGGGAATTTTTCGAGAAATCTTATGTACCCTTAAATATTCCCCACAGTCAACCTTACGTTATTAATGGCCCCTAATTATAGTAGCTCTCCTCACCCTGCAATCCGAAACAAGTGCCAGGCACTGCTACTTGGCGGCAGGAATATGTACCTAATGGTAAATGGTCATTGTAGCTAGACACCTGCAGTCATCAGCCCATAAAAAGACAAGTGCTTAACACGGGGATCTCTCATCGTAAGTAGGATTTGTCTTTATCATCACGCTTCGCAGGCTGTTTCGCAGGTCGCTGTACCAGAGACCTGCGTTTCGCACTTTAGACGCTGCTTTCCATCACGGGGGTGGATACAAATAAGTTAAAGGGAGATGATTATACCGCCATCTATCGGAAGCCATGAGATCATTATATCACAGTCATTTACAATTTCCAAGAAGGTAGTAATAGGTTGATAGATTCTCTTAAGCTGCCAACCCACTGCACTACTGTCCATCAAATCGTAACTCAAAATTTGGTGCCCTGTTTATTAGCGACAGAAATCCATCATGAAAAAAATTGGAGGCAGAAAAAGTGCCTTTCCATACATAACATAACAAAATCTTTCAGAGTTTCACGTGGAATGTCGTGATGCGCTCATCTTTAAGCCTACGTTATAATTCCAAAATAAGAAAATAGGAACACAAAATAGGCTACGGTAATAAGAAAACGCGCTGTGATCACGAGGTAAGTCGCATCATCGTTCCGGTCTAGCAATGAGTTGTTGTGGCAACAACATTTAAACCCAGCTGAGCATTGAATTCTGCGTCGCGTTTTAGGGGTGAGTGTGTTCCCGATGTTATAGTAGTAATATAAATAAACATGACAACTATTTTTTGTATTGTTTCAGAATGACATTAGCGCCAGTTCTAAAAGAAGCATTGTTTTCTCAAGCTAGTCATTAAACTCACCACCCATGGTAGAATGTTTTCATTAAATATTAAATGACAATTGACATTCTTAATCAGATGTATTGTAAACTTTAGAACATGTTTGTGTTGTTTAATTCTAATAAATATACCGTAACCACCACATAAGTTTTTGATTGTCGTTTCTAGTGTACAATTATATCACACAAAATTATTATTATACTCCTCAAACGAGGTGCACCATCGTTGCGAGTTGGAGTATTGGCATAAGTATTACGTTGGGCATTTGTAGTTTAGGACGATTGCGTGCCACAACATCAACGTGGCAATATCTCATACATACTTAGTAGCCTCTGATTATTCAGAAGTTACAGCTGTGGTAAAAAAAAATAAGAACGCATCAGGCACGCTGGGCCACATTAACCGTTTCACTTATCATCATAATATGTATGTGTGCCTCGCCACTCCCCACCTCATTTGGTTAAGGTATTGAAGTTCTAGACGATTTGTTTTATAATAATTCGTGTCTATTTTCTAGACGTTACCTTAGACATCTCCAACTCTACAAAGGTTTCTAAACGAGTTAATTGAAATTGCATCCTTGCTAAAAACTAGAGATGGGCCGAATATTCGTTTTATATTCGATATTCGGCATATTCGGTAAAATATTCGTATTCGCCCGAATATTCGGCTAAATCACCGAATATTCGTTAAAGTGGTACTGAAAACGTACGAACTTCAAACGTAAAAATTGAGTAATGCCATGTCTTCATAATTTTACTGTTGAAAGTATATTTATGGTTTTAATCTACTTTTATAGCATTATGTTTTTGAGGCACTGTAGATTTATTTCCAATTATAACAAATAGAAAGCTTGAAAAAAATTTTTTTTGGAATCAAACAAAGAAACATTATATTACCTTAGTACATTTCACTTTACTTTGGTTGTCACTTTCTCTAAAATTAGTCCAAATAGTAGATCTCCTGTCACTAGTTTTTATCAATATATATATATATATATATATATATATATATATATATATATATATATATATATATATATATATATATATATATAATGTAGCGACCAATGGGGCGACTGAAAAAGTGAAATAAAACTCTTTTGTTTATCAAATATATATTCATCTTATTTATACATTTCTTAGAATAAAATCTACGATTTGTTTCAGCTCAAATTGAAAAGACCTGCTTTGCGTACATCATTTTTGTCAAAAAATAAAGAAGGATATTTAACACACGAAGCTAACAAATGTATTATTTTTGCTTAACCAACACAATTGCACTTGTTTTATAACATTCTGATTTGATAATGATTGTCGTACATTAAAACTGCAGCTTTTTAGCAAGAGAACCGCCGTCAATATTATCCAGTAGTTTTCTTTTGAGCGATGGTTTTTCAGTCTCAATTTTAGATATATTTGATGGCATAGGGAGTCTTGAACCAACGCTCGGCGCTGGTTTATTACTGTAAAATAAATCATTTTTATTATTTATGTCACAGCTTGATAGTTTAGCCAGCACATCAATTGCATAAATATATAAAGCATAGTTAAAATGCGCAACGTGAAACGAAAGGGTTATCAATTTATAGTCACTTGGGTAAATGAAATTAATTATTATTGTATCTGTTAAGAAAAACACAAAAATTTTTTTTTAAAAAAAACTTATATTAAAAAAAACACAAAAAAAATTTTAATATAAAAATTAATATATAAATTTAAAAAAAAACACGCACGCACACGCACGCGCACGTGCGGGCACGCACGCACCGCACCTCCAGCGGGCACGCACGCACGCACGCACAGCACAGCACACACACACACGCACACGCGCGCGCACACACACACGCCACACACACACACACACACACACACACAAAATGGTCATCAATCTACGTAATATAATAATAATAATGTACTCCAGACTGATTATAGTGCCCAAGTGAGAGTGCCTCGCTGGCGACTAAGAAGGATCACCCGTGTCCTTTCAGGCCACGGGCCCTGAGACCTATAAGGTATGACAACCAAAAGGCTAACAGCATTAACATCATCAGAAACCAGACACATGAGAGGCATCAGTTGATAATTCTACGAGTCTCACTGTCGTTATAATGCTCTTTGGGATTACACATTATGTACACACTAAGATTCTGCCTAAGTAAGATAAGTGTCGCGATTCTGTTCATTGTAGATTGTAGTAGTTCTTCTAGTGTAAGTCAGGAAGATCGTGTTGCTGAGAGGCTGCCCTGTGTTATATTGAGAGGTTAGTATTGCTGTTGGTTTGCATACTTTGGTGTTACTATGTAATTATGTACTTCACATTACACCAGTGTGTGGATTGTGACGGGTACATATTATGGTTGGTCGCACTGTATTTGCTCCATACTTAATGTATAGTGCAGTACGCTGTCTTATTCTGTGTATATGTCTTTATTCATTGCGTAAGCAAGAGAGCAAGTTGAACATCCGCTCTCACACCTTTAATTTTAACAATTAACCTCCAGGATATTTATAATAGTAAGGAAAATTTGCAACCGAGTTATTTTCTTTTATTTAAATAATTTTCAGAATAGTTTTTAACAATACAATACCTGAAGTAGGGCATTTGCAATGCTTGTGTGCAATCACAGCGGTTAGGCGGATAAAGTGCGAGCAGACTTTCCAGGAGTTGAATTAGATCATCGGAAGCCGCGCTGAATATGTGACGTAGCTGTTGCGGCGGGAACTGCTTGAACTGCACATAGTCTGTTAGACTTTTCATGCCCTGGAATAATCATAAAGCAATTAATATCTGTAACCCTGACTGAGTAATGTGATAAGCTTAACGTTTGGCTATAATGCGATTCCGGAATAGAAAAAGTAATGTGAATTATAGGCCAACTACAATAATAACTGTGCTAGGTCTGGATCTGGGTACATAATATAGAAGCAATTACCAGAATTGGATAACTTTTCTTTAGATAATAAATCTATTGCTCTTTTATCTATTATAATATTAGTTCAAGAATACTACACGCGTGATATTATTATTTTATAACAAATAAACTATTTTTTATATTCCTTTTTTATGTCGAGCAATAATGGCGAGTTATTCGACTATTCGCCATAGCGAATGGCTACTACTATTCGCGGCAACTCTAATATGTAGTGATAGGGCTCTAATGCAATTATAATTTGATTTAAACGTTTTTGTTAACACATATCCTTATTAAATATAATAAGTGGATAACTGTTATT